TCTGATCAAGAATCAGAACTCATCAAGAGTGCACATCTGAGGATACAACATTGGTTATCCTTCATAAGATGGAGGAAAGTGAAAACCACAATGGTTAACCCTCATCTATCAGCAGCGTGCATCAGATAACGATATCCCAATGGGTATCTCTCGCACATTAGGAGGTCAACAGATGAGGATACAACAATGGCTATCCCTCATCTACCAAAGACACAGAAAGCCACTATCACTTCTAAAAAATCAAAAATGGTGTAAAGATCAACGACTTGTTCAGAAGGGAAAGTATGGATAAGAAAGAAATAAAAATCCCTGCTAAGTCCAACTTGAAAACAAGTCGCTTAGGAAAAAGTTGGGGTATCTCGCTGGACTTCCAAATCTAAATTCAAAAGAATTGTCCAGGAAAAAGTAAGGGAAAGCGAGAAAGAAATTGAAAAGCCTAAAAGGCGAGAAAAGGATTAACAATGAAAATCCCTTATCGAGAGAACAAGGTCATGTGATCAGACACCAAAATTAGAAGTTAGTGATTGTTGTGTCCAAGAGGCCTCAGTGGTTCCTTAACCATCGTAAACTCTTCTCGGGAGATGAATGCTTATATCGGGGCAACTGAACATAGAAATGGAGAACATCATGGAGAATGGGTGGGAACCAAAAGAATTTTGAGCCTTAAATACTTTTTTCTAAAACCGTGAACCAAGCCATTTTATAACCCTTTAAAAGTCCTAACTGAAGCATGGGTCAATTTGAAAGCGTGCCACAACGAGATAGAGTTTAACTGAATCCTAAGAGGTATGTTTAAATATTTGTGTTGGCATCATATGCTTGATTATCTTTCATAAAAAAGAATTTGCAAATGTTGCTCTCTAGCTAGTGAATAGTTCACAACAGAGTTGTGACTTCATTTTCACTCAAAGTTTTTTCAAACTTCAAGACTTACATACGTGTTGCATTAGAATTATCATTCTCATGATAAACATTCTTCTGCATATGAAACAACTGATTGACATCAAGTAAGTTTACACAATGAACAATCGGTAAAGAGCTTAATCTTGTCAGAGAAGAGAGGCTTGAATACCCTATTGAAGCAAGAGTCAATTGCCACAAGAGAAATGACTTATCCAGGGGAATGTTAACCAGTGATTTTGTCAAGAGAAAGCACCTTGGTACTTCACAGTCTGAGTATTCTCTAGGGATGAAGTTAGCAGATTTCACCAATCTGGGGCAATCAAGTTGAGCATCAATCTCTCCAAGCTCATCCAAATCTGGGGCATTCTCTCCAAGCTATACTCAATCAGAGGCTATCACGTCGATAAATCTCTTCAAGCTTGACCAATCAGAGGCTATCACGTCGATAAACATATTTAATTTGCCATCAAATTGGGGGCAATTACATCGAGAGATCTATTCAGAATTCATTCAAACTGGGGCAGTTACGTCGAGATTCGACAAATCTCTCCAAGAAAGTTGTAATCAAGAGAAGTTTATTTCGTGACTCAAGACATTGGGGCAGGCCACCTCATATCATATTTTGTCGTGGATATTCTGATCTTCTATTCAGCACAAATTCTTTCAGAAATCCTCCAGATAGGGGCATTCCTCATCCCTACTTGCAAAGTTGCTCAAGCCAATTATGTTGTACGAGACAAATCAAGCTAAAAGCATCATAACAGTCACCCTGACCCAGCCAGTGCACAAAGCTGCCTTCATCTGCTACAGATAATTTCAAACCTTATTCCCCAAGTGAATTCAGAAAGTTCAGAGTCACCGTTTGACTGGCACGTGCAAGTACATCCCCAGTGGAGTAAACTGGGGCATTCGTAGAGCTGAATCAGGACATCCCCAATGGAGTAAACCGGGGCATTCGCAGAGTTAAACCGGGCTATACACAGGTATCCATGCCCATCTTTTATCCCCAAGTGATTTAGGAGGTAATTCCCCAGTGTAGCGAAAGTTTGGGGCATGTATTCGAAGATATCTACAGGGGGTTCAGTATCAATTCTTCGGCATATTCAATCCTACCATCCTCGCAATGGTTCAGGATGTATGGAAGTATGGCCAGATTATCTCTTCCTCAGTCATGCAATTCAGAATTTAATGGCGTACCTGTAAACTCGCTTCGTCGGCAATTCAATCTTCAGCAGAGTCATTGATAATCTTTGGTATCACGAGCTCCCCAGTAAAATTCTTATCAGTATCCCCAGTGATCTTTAGTACTGCAGGTTTCCAACGCCGGCATGTATTGGCATCTCCAGTGATGAGCAACAGCTCCGAACGAGCCTCTTCATATCCCCATGAAGTCTATTTCCTTGCATTTCATATAGTTATCAATGTATATCATTGCATCTTCAAAAGTGCGTAGCAGATCCATCAGAACGGATCTTTGCGTCAAAATAAAATCAAACATGCATGCGAAGCATAAGCCAGAGCAGGTACTTTACACGAAAGACTTGAATCATTCAAGGACAATGATACATCCCCATAAGAGGGTATCATTCCCAAATCCCCGGCTGGTGACTTTCACCTTTACAATGCCCAACAAAATCAATACATCTTGTCATAGATTCCCTGATAGGTTACCCGTAGGCCTAGTTTTTGGTTGACCGACCGTAGGTCCTACCTTAGGATCTTAGATCGACCGTAGATCTAGATTCTGTTATAGGTCGCTCGTAGACCTATTTTTGGTAGACCGACCGTAGGTCTTACCTTAGGATCTTAGATCGATCGTAGATCTAGATTCCCTTGTAGGTCGCTCGTAGACCTAGTTTTGGTAGACCGACCGTAGGTCTTACCTTAGGATCTTAGATCCACCATAGATATAGATTCCCTTTTAGTACGCCTGTAGACCTAGTTTTGGTAGACCAGCCGTAGGTCTTACCTTAGGATCTTAGATCAACCGTAGATCTAGATTCCCTTGTAGGTCGCCCGTAGACCTAGTTTTGGTAGACCGACCGTAGGTCTTACCTTAAGATCATAGATCGACCGTAGATTTAGAATTCCCTTGTAGGTCGCCCGTAGACCTAGTTTTGGTAGATCAATCGTAGGTCTTACATTAGGATCTTAGATCGATCGTAGATCTAGATTCCCTTGTAGGTCGCCCGTAGACCTAGTTTTGGTAGATCAACCATAGATCTAGATTCCCTTGTAGGTCGCCCGTAGACCTAGTTTTGGTAGACCGACCGTAGGTCTTATCTTAAGATCTTAGATCTACAGTAGATCTAGATTCCCTTGTAGGTTTCCTGTAGACCTAGTTTTGGTAAACCGACCGTAGGTCTTACCTTAGGAACTTTGATCGACCCGAGATATAGATTCCCTTGTAGGTCGCTCATAGACCTAGTTTTGGTAGACCAACTGTAGGTCTTACCTTAGGATCTTAGATCGACCATAGATCTAGATTCCCTTGTAGGTCGCCCGTAGACCTAGTTTTGGTAAACCGCACGTAGGTCTTACCTTAGGATCTTAGATCGATCGTAGATCTAGATTTCTTTGTAGGTCGCCCGTAGACCTAGTTTTTGGTAGACCTACCGTAGGTCTTACCTTAGGATCTTAGATCGACTGTAAATCTAGATTCCCTTGTAGGTCGCCCGTAGATCTAGTTTTTTGTAGATCGACCATAGATCTAGATTTCCTTATAGGTCGCCTGTAGGCCTAGTAATTCCAATAGATCATCATCAAACCTGAGATAGCTCATAGGATAGGTTCTTCCAATATATCATCGTCGAACCTGAGATTTCCCGCTGTCTAGGTTCTTCCTTAGATTGCCTTAGAACCTGAGATGTTCCGTTGGCTAGGTTCTTCCTTAGATCACCTTAGAACCTGAGATCGCCCATTGGCTAGGTTCTTCCTATAGATCGTCTTAGAACCAGAGATCGCCCGTTGGATAAGTTCTTTCTATAGATCATCATCGAACCTAAGATTGCCTGTTGGCTAGGTTCTTCAATAAATCATCTTAGAACCTAAGATCGCCCATTGGCTAGGTTCTTCCTCAGATCATCGTCGAACCTGAGATCGTCCATTGGCTAGTTTCTTCCTCAGATCATCATCGAACCTTAGATCGCCCATTGGCTAGGTTCTTCAATAGATCATCTTAGAACCTGAGATCGCCCGTTGGCTAGGATCTTCCTCAGATCATCGTTTAACCTAAGATCGTCCGTTGGCTAGGTTCTTCATCAGATCATCGTCGAACCTGAGGCCGCCCATTGGCTAGGTTCTTCATTAGATCACCTTAGAACCTGAGATCGCCCGTTGGCTAGGTTCTTCCTTAGATCACCTTAGAACCTGATATTGCCCATTGGCTAGGTTCTTCCTTAAATCACCTTAGAACCTGAGATCGCTCATTGGTTAGGTTCTTCCAATAGATCGTCTTAGAATCTGAGATCGCCCGTTGGCTAGGTTCTTTCTATAGATCATCATCGAACCTGAGATCTCCTGTTGGCTAGGTTCTTTAATAGATCATCTTAGAACATGAGATTGCCCGTTGGCTAGGTTGTTCCTCAGATCATCATAGAACCTGAGATCTCCCATTGACTAGGTTCTTCCTCAAATCCTCGTCGAACCTGTGATTGCCTGTTGGCTAGGTTCTTCAATAGATCATATTAGAACCTGAGATCGCCCGTTGGCTAGGTTCTTCCTCAGATCATCGTTGAACCTAAAATCGCCCGTTGGCTAGATTCTTCATCAGATCATCGTCGAACCTGAGATTTCCCATTGGCTAGGTTCTTCATCAGATCACCTTAGAACCTAAGATCGCCCGTTGGCTAGGTTCTTCCTTAGATCACCTTAGAACCTGAGATCGCTCATTGGCTAGGTTCTTCCATAGATCATCTTAGAACCTGAGACCGCCCATTGGCTAGGTTCTTCCCATAGATCGTCTTAGAACTTGAGATCATCTGTAGGCTAGGTTCTTCCTCAAATCATCTTAGAATCTGAGATCTCCCGTTGGCTAGGTTCTTCCTTAGATCATCTTAGAATCTGAGATTGCCCGTAGGCTAGGTTCTTCCAATAGTTCATCTTCGAACCTGAGATTGCTTGTTGGCTAGGTTCTTCCAATAGATCATCATTGAACCTGAGTTCACCTGTAGGCTAGGTTCTTCCAATAGATCATCGTCGAACCTGAGATCGTCGTAGGCTAGGTTTTTCCAATAGATCATCGTCGAACCTGAGATCGCACGTAAGCTAGGTTCTTCCAATAGATCATCGTCGAACCTGAGATCTCCTGTTGGCTAGTTTGTTCTAATAGATCATCGTCGAACCTGAGATCGCCTGTATGCTAGGTTCTTCCTTAGATCATCTTAGAACCTGAGATCGTCCGTAGGCTATGTTCTTCCTCAGATCATCTTAGAACTTGAGATCGCCCGTTAGCTAGGTTCTTCCTTAGATCATCTTAGAACCTGAGATTGCCCGTAGGGTAGGTTCTTCCAATAGATCATCGTCGAATCTGAGATTGCTTGTTGGCTAGGCTCTTCCAATAGATCATAATCGAACCTGAGATCGATCGTAGGCTAGGTTCTTCCAATAGATCATCTTCGAACCTGAGATCGTCATAGGCTAGGTTCTTCCAATAGATCATTGTCGAACCTGAGATCACACGTAGGCTAGGTTCTTCCAATAGATCATCGTCGAACTTGAGATCGCCTGTTGGCTAGGTTGTTCCAATAGATCATCGTCGAACCTGAGATCGCCTGTATGCTAGGTTCTTCCTTAGATCATCTTAGAACCTGAGATCGCCCGTTGGCTAGGTTCTTCTCACAAATCTAGTCTTAGAACCTGAGATCGCCCATAGGCTAGGTTCTCTGACAAATTACTCTCATGTTTCACCTTAGGATCGTAGGTTACCCGTAGGCCTTATCCGCTGTCTTTTTGTACCATCCTTTGTCTTGTATTTGCATCACGCCATGTTGTAATTCCAACTCCCATCTTGCATTAGCCTCTATTGCTACGTTACGAGTCCAATCTCTGTCTCTTCACTGAAAAAAGAATTTTTTTCCCCAACAGATATCACAAAAGATGAATAAACACTCACACTTTCTCCCATAACAAATTTTTGGAATTGATATTTAATCATCTTCAACCTCGAACTTCCGAAAGGCACGCACCAATCATACTTTCAGGTTTAAGACGATTAAATAGGGGCAACTTTAATACCCTAAATTTTTCCAACCCTATCACTTTTATCTAACTTATGCATTTTACACTTTCCTCATGTACATAACCTTCATTAGGGCATTTAACACATCATGCATCATTAGTCAATAATTTGGTATGGGATCATGGATTTCGAGGAATTAGGGTTGTTGTATGGCTTTAAGGTTCTCATCTTCGCACAAGCTTGTTTTGGTTGATTTCTCCATCAGTCATTTGTTTGAAGCTAGGGTTTTATTTCCTGGAATGTTTTATCACCAAACTACAGGGGTATTCTTTCTTCTCAACATCAAGTTGCAATCTTTATTCAAGGCTTAAGAATTAGGGTTTTCGTCTGTTATGCTTCAACTGGGGATCATTGGATTAGGGCCCAATCTTGTGGTTATCTTGAGTCTCTCCTTCTCCAACATTGTGGATTTGTTTTTAATGATACAATTTTTGGTTCTCATCAAATACTTGCAACTTAAATGGTAGTTAAAGTGGATTAAAGGTCTTAGGTATTGGCTTGTTCGAGAATCTAACCCAAGCAAGATTGGAAGATTCATATGGTGCAAGTTACCATTTTTAATTTCACTTAATTCATCTTCCATTACTCAAATCTAGGCATGGCATATAAACGGATATGGATTCAATTGTTTGTGAAATATCAATTTGGATTCAAATTTTGAAGCGAGGCGTCCCATGATGAAGTTCAATGTCAATTTAGGAAAGTTAACTCTTGACCAAATTTCTATTTAAATTTATGTCTATTGCATTCAAGTTACAAGCATAATGGAGGGAAATGTATTTCAAAGTATGGTTGAAAAAGGATTCGATACATTCAAAGTTTAAAGGAAATTATAACGGACATTTAAGTTCACAATTCAAGTTACCTCACAAAGTCAATCTCATTACAAGAAGAACCATCACATATTTCTTGTTTCAATACCATTCCATTTCAAACCATGTTTCTATACGTAATACTTTCCATGATCGAGCCAGGTTTGATACATATCCAAGAGATTCATTCTACATCATTCAAAGAAAACTATACAAATAGAAAATCATTTTACTTCAAAGTCATTCCAATATACCATTCCAAATGTATAGAAAATCATACAATGAAAAAATATGTCCTAAACATGTTGCTCCTAATCCTAAGTCCCATATTTTTCCTAAGGTATATCATCCAAGCATTGTCAAGAAATCCATCTTTGTTCCTTCAAGTTTTACACCTTAGACATGCTTCAGTTAAACAAAAACCTCCACAAACCAATACATAAGTCATGCACCAGTACATAGCCGAGCATAAACCTTCAGATGGCCAACCTACTGTTGCTTCCCTGTAAAAATCCAATACAAACAATTAACCAAGTATACATAAACTTCAGCCCTGCATCCATCACAAAAATAAGGCATCAGTTCATGATAGTATATCGACAACATCAAGCTAGAATTGACCAATTCAATTTTGGAAAACTAAAAACACGTCACTTACTTAAATCTCAGCAGTCCTGTTTAACAGAATAAACAACCCCTAACCTCTATTTCAATTGACCAAAAACCATAAACAGATTTACTAACAGCAAAAACTCTTAACAGAATTCCAACCTCCTCTCTAACTAACCTATAACATAAATAGCTCTCTAACATCCTAACTCTTCAAAACTCCAAACAGCGTTGCTAACAGGAAACCAATAGTAGTCTCTAACCCCTAACTAACTGCTCTAACCTCTAACATAACCACCTATAATTGTTTCTAATCATTCATAACCCCTTAACCGGTTTTCTAAACAAATTCCCATAACAGTTTCCAACCTATCTCTAACTATCCTCCTAACCAACTGTTACTAACTTCCTAACTTCTCAGCAGAAACAAAAAACTTCCAGCCAAGATAAAATTCATAACAGAAAGGGATATAACAGAAGATTGCAGAAGGAAGGAAGGGGAGAATTCATGCTTTTTCCACCAGAAAAGTCAGAGGAAAATAAATTATAAAAAACTCACCAAGAACAATCTGAAGAATCTCTCATCAAATTCTCTCTCAACTTCACTAGTTTTCATCATCCATTCTTCAATTCTCCATCAATAACCTTCATCTTTCTCTCTAAATTACAACTTCACGATAACAACTTTTCATCAGATTTTTTCTTCAATCTTCTGCAATATTCCTGTGTTCACCACCACCATCAATACATCTCCATTTTCAATCTTCACCATGTGAAGACCTACAATAACTGCAAGAAGCTCCTTCAATCTTCCATAATAAGAAAAACCATCTTCACCGTAAATCAACGTTCATCCTCGATTAAACCTGCAACAACGACGAATCCTCGAATTTGTTATTCAGAGCAACGACGTCAACGCGTACATAATAAGAACAACATTGAGTTTATTTCTCAATCGCATTCGTGCCGTATTTCGCAACAAAAATGTAGAATATGAAGAAGAGGAAGAAGAACTGATGAGGGAATTTGGATAAAGGCAAGAATGCCTATACCTGATTGGTGTTCTCTTCCACTAGTTCTTGCAAATTATCACTTGCTTCTGGGTCGTTTCTTCCTTGAACTCTCGATGTCGTCACTGGATCATGAATTCCGTGAGTTATGGTTCCGATTGAGGCTTCGACTTGAAGTGGATGGTTTAAAAGATAAGGTTGTAGCGTCGCGGTTTATGGTGGTGACCTGTAGTAGTTATAGCCACAAGTATTTAATCAGAGGCGAAGAGGAAAGAAGGACCTCGCCGCGTTCGATTCTGAGAAGAAGAGGATCGTCAAAGAGGTTGTTGGTTTTATGAACGGCACTATTTATGGAAGTAGAGCGAAGATTGAGTTAAGTAGAGACGAGGAGTTCATAGACTGAGAGAACAAGACGGAGATCGTCAAAGAAGGGATGACCGTCGTTCACGTTGAGAAGAAGCTCTCACGCTGAAGTTGAAGGGCCACAAAACCTTCTCAAACCTAATTCCTCTTTCAATCTTTTTTTTTTATTTTGTATTTTTATTTTTGAATTTTGTAAAAAGAGAATAATAATGCTGAAGCTTTTTTTTGCTAGTATATTATTGGACTGGGCCAAATTGTGTTTGATTTTTGGGAATCAAGTTCAACAACAATAACAAAAATCTCCTTTCTAGATGGGCCTTGCATTTTTCTGGCAGCATACCATTGAATCCTGCTTACACCCTCCTAAAGCTTAATTTCCTCTATTTTATTTCAATTCCCTTTTTAAATTATTGTGATGATAGATTTGTTTTGAGATATTGGTAAATAAAAGAGATTAAGGTGAAGATTTCACAAAGCTCTGAAGCTAGCTAAGAGCATAATTTTATCAAGGAAATTCAAGGAGATTTTAGTAGATTTTTCTTATTGCTTGCGTGGTTTCGAACAGGCAGCGGGCCTACTCCGTTAGGTATTATCGTGGCTTCAATTTTATTCCTCATTTCCACACTTGTCTGCTCTCTAGATACAATGAGAAGTAGGAAATAAAGAGTGTGCGCTCGAAGTCGCTGTTTAAAGACCTGTAGCAGGCATTTCACACTTCACTTACTATATGTGTTGTGCTTGTGTTTTTTTCTTTGGCTATTGATCGATGAGTCACTCAATTTAGGAATTGAGATTACGACTTCACTCTCAGTGCATGCTCCCTATAGGATTTTATCCCTTTCCTTTATTTATTGTTGATCAATGAGTCACTCAATTTAGAAATTGAGATCACGACTTTGCTCTCATTGCATGTTCCCTATAGGATAGTTTTGTTAGACTTTATTTGGCATGCTTCCTTAGATAAGATCCCTCTAGGTGTACTCTCTTGAGCTTATTAGCTTGTTTGCTTTATCCTTGTACATACCATGTTCCCTTAGGATGCGCTTGCACCATTCGGATGCGAGTTAGACCTTAGGTTGCAAAACATGCATGCTAACATTAGGTAGACGTTTCCCTTTTTTTAATCCAAATCTTAGGACCACCATTGTATGATAACATTAGGTTAGGAATAGGCTAGTCTCCCTTAAACTCTTTTCTTCCCCTTTTGCATGTGCATTTAAAACTAAAACTTTCTTCTTAGTAAATCAAAAACATGCTAATCTCACTTAAACCCTTTTTCAAGGTAACAAAACACAAACCAATTCAAACCTTTTTGTGTGCCAAAGCACCTTTTGTCTAAAACCCTTTTCAGGTAAGGACATGATTAATTTAATTTTTTACCAACGCATAAGTCTCCAAAGGTCGATCTGCGGTAGAAGGCATAATTAACACTGTCCAGAAAAAACACAAAAAAACAAAACATATGAGCTGAACTATGGTAGCTATGATTCCTCAAAAAGGATACATAGGCATTGGGGTAGGGCCCAAGCGAGTACAACTTTATTTTCCCTAAATTCTTTTCTTCTTTCTTTTGCATGCATTCTCCCTTTAGCAGTAATAAACAATAAGCAAAGTTTAGACACACCCATGAGATTAGAACAACAAGAGTGGGTATCATAGAGTACTACAGGCGTGTGGGGGTGCTAATACCTTCCCCTCGCGTAACAGACTCCCTTACCCGATCTCTCAGTTGCAAGACCGTGACTTCTCCCTTATCAGGTTTTCTCGATGTTCACCTTTCCCTTCATGTGGGATAAAATACGTTCGATGGTGACTTCATTATTTGATGATTTTCAGTCGGTTGTTTCACCTACAATCAAGAAGAATTTGTTACAAGCCGGTTTATTTCCAGGTTGTGTTGAAAATTGTTATTGTTGTGCAGTTCAACCCAATGGCTATGGGTTACTGAAGTAAGGTGTTCAACGCCTGATAAATGAACATGAAATTTTGATTGAGAAAATTCCATCCACTAAAAATTTGTGTGAAGATTTGTCTGTCATTACTAGTACTCCTTTCAGGATCACTTCCAAGTGTCTTGTAAGGATTACTGCCAATCCAAAAGTTACTCCCTTAATCATTACAAAAACTGGGCCCATCCCATATTCCTCGGAGAAGGCTATTCCATGGAATTATGGGTCTGAAGTTTATTACCATGGTGTTAAACAAGAACTATCTGACGAAGATGATGAAAAGGTTGATCCTAATATTGACAATATTTTTGGGACCAGCAAAATCACTATAAGTGGAAGGATTTTCTCCCCAGAGATATCTCCACCTGTTCAAGTCACAGTTACTAAAACAATTGCCGAAGCACGAGGTAAAGAGCCAATGACAGAGCCTGTCTGGACGGAGGCACCAAAAGAAGCTGCAGTCAAGGATACCTCTGGACAAGAAATGGAAGAGGTTTTGAAAATCATTCGTAGAAGCGATTACAAAATTGTTAAAGAGCTGGGGCAGACCCCATCTAAGATCTCTATGTTATCCCTGCTACTGTGTTCCGAAGCTTATGTGTAAGCTTTAATGAAAATTTTGAAGACTACTTATGTACCACAAGAGATTTTTGCCGATTAATTTGGAAGTTATGTTGCTAGTTTAACGACTGACAATGGATTAGGTTTCTCAGATGCTGACCTGACTCCGGAGGGGAGAAAACATAATAGGGTATTGTATGTCTCCATTGAATGCAGGGGCACTACGTTGGCTCCTATGTTAGTTGATATTGTTTCTTCTCTAAATGTTCTACCAAAGGGCACTCTTGACAAACTGGATTGTGAAGGGGTTGTGCTGAAACCTAGTGATATCATAGTCCAAGCCTTTGACGGATCAAAAAGAATGGTACATGGAGAAGTATACCTCCCGATCAAAGTAGGTTCACAATTCTTTGAATCCACCTTTTTTTAAATGGACATCCTGCTAGCTTATTCTTGTCTATTAGGACGCCCCTGGATCCATGGGGCAGGTGTTGTTACCTCCACCTTGCACTAGAAATTAAAGTATCCTTTGAAAGGGAAGATTGTTACTGTCTACGGAGAGGAGGAGTACATGGTCAGCCACCTGAATTCATTTTGGAATGTAGAAATGGACGGTGAGTTCATTGAGACTCCTTGCAAAGATTTTGAAGTAATCTCCCCCGCTACTGTTGAAGATGTTTATGCCGTTCCAAAGACTACCAAAGTTCCGCATAAGATGGCTTCTTTGAAAGATGCCAAAGCTATAATAGAAGAAGGTAGCTGTACAATTTGGGGTCAGCTTCCTGATATCCTCTACAAATCTGACAAGTTTGGTTTGGGCTTTACTGCAGAAGGTCAAAGGGTTGTTCGTCATGCTCGAGCTGGAAGACCTCTGTTCTGTGTCACCAACAATGGAATTAATTCTATAGAAGACGCTGACAGTGATGGTGACTTTGACAATTGGATATTTCCTACCATTGGCAACTGACTCAACAACTAGTAAGTAGAAGACATTTTCCCTATCTCCTTCAGCCAGGAGTAATAGCTATTTCTGTTTTTATTGCTTTAAGAAGTTTGGTTATGTAATTTCTTTTAAAACAATGACTTTAAACCTTGTGTCTTGCCTAGGGAACAACGATCTATTTGTTAAGGATTGTCGATTCATATGTCATATCTTCATTTAATGAAAACATTGGACGTTTTGCATTCAAAATTTTCACTCTTTGTCTTTCTTTTATTTTTATCGCACTTTCAAAAAGCTATGTGTTATTAAACACACCCACACACTACATTGCAGATCCCCATCCACTCTGGATCTCGTTGATAACGATTCTGTTGTTGCCGCTTATGACTTTGAAAATCAAATTTACCAAGCCGAGGACGAGGGTAAGGAAGATTGTGAAATACCTGGAGAAATTTCCAGACTCTTAATGCAAGAAAAAAAGGCTATCCAACCACATGAAGAGTCGATCGAAGTGGGAAAATTGGGGTCTAAGGCAGACATAAAAGGTGTCAAGATTAGTGGCAACTTAGAGGATGGTGTCAAGAACAGGTTGATTCATATGTTGCACGACTATGTTGAGGTATTTTCTTGGTCATATGAAGACATGCCAGGGCTCGATTCAGATATTGTGGTTCATCCTCTGCCAATGAAAGATGGTTGTTCTTAGATTAATCATAAGGTTTATCGTATGCGTCCCGAGATGTCAGAGAAGATCAAGGCCGAGGTTATGAAATAATTCAATGCAGGTTTCCTAGCAGTGACGTCATATCCTTAATGGTTTGCTAATGTTGTTCTGGTACCAAAGAAAGATGGAAAGGTGCGTATGTGTGTAGATTACAGGGATCTGAATAGGGTGAGCCCCAAAGATGACTTCCCACTCCCACATATTGATGTTCTAGTGGACAACACTGCTCAACATAAGGTATTCTCCTTCATGAATGGTTTCTTGGATTATAATCAAATCAAGATGGCGCCTGAAGACATGGAGGAAACTACCTTCGTCACACAGTAGGGAACTTTTTGTTACCAGGTCATGTCTTTTGGGTTGAAGAACATTATGGCAACTTATCAGCATGCCATGATAGCTTTATTCCATAACATGATTCATCAGGAGATAGAGGTCTACGTCGACAACATGATAGCAAGATCACAGACTGAAGAAGAACATCTTGATCATCTACATAAATTATTTGAAAGGCTGAAGAAGTACAAACTAAGGCTAAATACGAACAAATGCACTTTTGGGGTGAGATCCAGTAAACTCCTGGGTTTCATCATCAGTGGTAAAGTTATCGAAGTTGATCCCGCAAAAGATAAAGCTATTCAAGAAATGTCGGCTCCTCGTACTGAAAAGGAAGCCATAGGTTTCTTAGGTCGACTGAATTACATTGCCCGATTCATTTCTCATTTGACTGCTACATGTGAGCCAATCTTCAAGCTACTGAAGAAAGATCAGGTAATCAAAAGGAACGACGACTGTCAA